AGGTTACACAGAAAGAGAAGTAAGGCTTTGCCATGTTCAAATGGCAAAACACAGAAGGAAGCCCCAAGGAAAGGACTAGGAGAAGCAATATGCTCTAGTGAAATGAGCAGAGTTAAAGGTCCAGAAATCCTGTTTCTTTACGTCTGGATGTACCAATACTTTGTCACATTGTTTTTAAAATGAGGGGAAGAAACACCCGTGCTGCCAGAGGACTCTAGAAGTTAGGTATTATCTTTCTACCCATATAATGTTGTGTAAAACACAGTGACCTTCTTCACAACCGTAACTCTGTCCAATATTACAGCTACGATAGCCATTTGACACCCCACGTGGAATAATGGGATACCCATTTATAGCTGGGTTGCCAGTGGTTGTCCTTCACCACAGGTCAAACCTGTGTCTTTGGATCTCACTTGTCTGTAAATGTACTTGACAAATGATAAATGCAACATTATAGTGTAAGAGCAGCCCTACAGCTGCTGCTTCTTTCTAATTCGAAAACATCAACCTAGCAGGCAAGGCACTGGCACAGATGTAGTCTTTTGAGATCTAAAATGGATGTTCTTACTGTGATGGTCATTAAGGACCTTGAAAGTAGGAAAAATGTAGGAAGGCTTAGATAGCCCTGGAGCTTGTGCAAAATTCAAAGCCAGATAATAATATACGTATGAATTTCAGCTAGGAAAATGCTACTCTATCCTATTATGTCATTTTTGATGCCTGCTGACAAGAAATTTAATGGAGATCAAAGCACTTTCAGTAGAAAGATCCCTTCTGAGACTGTATTTATATTTATTTACAGCCTTTATGCCATCTTTAAGTTACTCTCTCCTGGAACAAAAAGGTCTACTAAAATTACTGGAAAATAGTAATTTTTGCTTGAGTTCTGTAAAAGGTTTGATTTTATTTTTTGATTACTATTTGTTCATGTACTGTGCAGACACAGTATCTTTGTACTTCCTTTTGATTCTGTCATCCTGCTCTAATGACTGACTTGGAAAGGTATAAATGTCTATTCTTAAAAAAAAAAGTGATCTTAGGTCCAACCAACTGTCTTCACAACAAGAAACAGAAGGGGTTGGTTGTGGAGCCCTTGTGACATGACACTGGTGCTTCTGCAGCACAAATTGTATGTGAGTGTGGGAATGTGCCCATTTTTTAAACATGCTAACACAACAGTGCCTTGCTGGGAAAAGGTGCTGATGAGTGCTGGCTGCTTTGTCCTTCACTCCCAAAATAAGGGCAAAGTGAAGCTATGCCATGAATTTCAAAGGAGCCAGGTTTTTGCCCCAAAGCTCCTTCCCTTATCTGAGACACTCCCCAGTCCTTTAAAAGCAACAACAAAATGTACGTAAGTTGCTTTTTTTTTTTTTAAACCTCACAGTCTTGCACCCCCACCTGCATCTTCTGCAAGTTGCAGGAAAACAAGAGAGTCCTCGATGTTTCCTTCATAACAGGGATGTCCCCTTTCCCTCCCAGGAAGCTCCATGGAAATTGTCACAATACATAAACCAAGAAGTACGTTTATAAGGAGATTCTGGTTTTCCTCTATGTTGGGTCTTCCCCCCCCCTTTCAACTGACTTGGGACAAATATGCAAAATAATGCATCTTATAGTGTCTGAAAGCTGCATTCATATTCACTGCTAACATCTGAGCAGCTGATCTGGACAGCTGAGTTGCTGTGAAATGTTTCTGCAAGGCATATCTCAGCCCGAAAGGTGCAGGGAAACTGGACCCAAACTGCACATTTGTGAAGCCTTAAGAGAACAGGGCTTGCACAGCCAGCTAGGCAGGAAAGAGACATCCTGCACTGACTCCTCAAGCACAGGCCAAGTGCTGAACAGCTGCTGGACAGACACAGAGGAAAAAAAGAAGGTATTCATAGCAAAAAACCCCAAAACATTAGAAGAAAGTAACCTGCCCAGAGACACTTGTGAGCTGAAAACTACCTTCAAACCATGACCTACATTTGGGTCTTCATTGAAAATGGCTCAGATTTAGCTTCTCTGATGCTGCTGAAGGCTGGGTCTGCACACACAGCATGACCAGACAGGCAGGGGCCATGGGCTGTGCCTGGCTGCTGAAGGGACCAAGGAGCCAGAAATAAATGAGTGGCTGTTCTCATTCACTCATCTCCATCTTTGAACAATTTTGAGCAAATAACTGAAAAAGGTGCATTATTCATATGGAGCTATTTTAAGCCCAGAGCCACGCAGGCACCTGCTTTAACTAGAATGAGAATTGTGCCTGTGCTGCTGAGGGGAGAATTTGACTTTAACATTAATTGATGCAATTGTAAGACATAATTCAAGGCAAATCACCTACAGAAAGCCCCCAGAGTGAAAGCAGCATTCAAGTCATAGTGTATAAACAGCTGGGGGTGCCAGCACAGCCAATAACTCTCTGATACTGAAGCACAGAAGCAAAAAGCCAGTGCAATAAATAACTCTGATCTTACCTCCTACTAGTAAGTAGCTATTTGGAAATAGAGTTTTGGCTTGCATAAGAGCTCTAGCATGGCCGGAGTGGAAGAGGTCAAATATCCCATCTGCATACACTCTGACAGGTCTGTCAACTGTGGAGAAAGAAACACAACAGTGGTTTATCAGACCCCAAACAAGTTGCACTTAATTGTACTGGACAGGTGGTTGTTCCTAGATCAGATGATTGCAAAGATTTACTCCAGTTCTGCTGTTCAAAAGCACCATGGGTGAACTCACAGGGGTTTATACTGTACACTACTTGTTATCTGTACCCTATGCTGTTTTCTCTCAGACTTAGCCTATTTATTATCATCCATCATCCCTGTATTCTAATTTAGCAAAAATGTCATATTCCTGCTTCATCTGGAGTTCCACCATATGTCTTGTTCTTTTCTCTCTGCCTTTCTAATCAGTTCTGCCTTACGGATTTTTTCCATTTTTCTCTATCATCTCCCTTTTCCTCCCCTCTTGCCTGTGACTTGCTTTTTTCCACAGCTTACTGCTGTAAGAATGCATTTCTTACCTCTTCTATGTAAACCTTTCACTTCCCTTTTTCAGACTTTCCCCAAGATCTTCCCTTCTCTCTAACAAGCCTGTAATTTCTTTTTCTCCTCCTGCTACCACCCTTGTAACTCTTGCTTTCTGCACAGCAACTTCAGCAGCAGCCCCCAGATGAGAATAGGACCTGCTTTCTCAAATGACAAAGCTGACAGCTGTGCCACCTCCAAGCAAAAGGACAGTGGAGACAAAAGCAAGAGTTCCAACCTCGATGGACTGTGTGTCAGTGACAGCAGAGAGATGTCTCATCTGTCAGGACATCCAAGGGTCCACAGAAGAACATTCACCCTTGCAGAGCTGACTGGAAAGCTGTGGCTTATCCCTAGGAAGTATACATACTTTAAAACCTTATTTTAAATATATAAAGTAAGTAAACAAAGGCTTTCTAAAAATAACCTCTTGAAATAAAGAGGGGCTGAGTATGTACTCGGACTTTATGTGAAATCATCCAACTTTCCCAGCACAATCACAAATGTCCAGATAAAGAAACGGCATGGTTTCTTTGCAAAGGGCAAATGGCTTTTAAGGCCACTGAAGGTCTGATATGATTGACAGGAACATCATTAAAAGAAGAGTTTTCCAGCATACAAAGACAGTGTGAGAAGAGAATCCAGGAGGTAGCCACTACATAACACAATTATCAGGCTGGCTGCAGTGGGCTGTCAAGCTTTCGTTCCAACCAATATGCAGACATCCACAAAAACATCAAACTCTAACTTGAAATGTTTTCTCTTGTTCTTTCTCCGACAGAAGATAATGGTCCTGTAGTTGCTGGTTTCTTCTCCATTACTTGACAGCACCAGATATCAGGCTGTGCTTTCTGCTTCTGAGTGGAAAGCACAAGTGAGCATTAATAGATGTCTGTAAGGGAGAACCTGTGCTTTGGGAGTGCCCACAGTCCTGTGGACATAGCTCCCCACATACCTGGTGTTCCCAGACGGGCTTGTGCAATGGTTAGCTTCTCATGGGGGGCTTGGCACTGACAGCTCGTTTCATCTGCAAATGGAGCAGGCGCCGTCAGAGTCTGGAAGGAGGAAAAAGCACAAGAAAGAAAATTTATTTTTTCCACTAAGCAGTTAAAAAAGAACCATTTAACTGTGGCAGAATGCTGTAACTAGGCTTAATGCTGGTGTGCTCTCTGGGGACTTTTGCTTTTTGGTCAGCCCTGAGCGCACACAGTTCACACAAGGTAAAGTTATAAGGAAAATAAAGTTTCCAAACACATCATGCAACTTAATTCTTTGTCTCTGTTAGAGATGCTCAGGCATACTGAGGTGAGTGAAGGTACACAATTTTAATGTTTGCAAAACAAAGTCAGGCTTTTGATAGCCTGAGCAACTTAACCCTTGATTTGGTCTCAATGACTCCAAAGGCCCAAGATGAAATATGTATTCTGTTACCTGCATATAACAGCTGGAAAAACTAATCAGGATTTAGAAGGCTGCAAATGAGCCACCTCTTCATGCACCAGTTCCTTCCACTGTACAGGTTGTTTTGTTGTGGTTTTAATCAGAATCTCGTATAATTTTAAGGAGCCATTCAAAAATAAAGGCATGAATGCAACCCTAAGTCCCACTTAACTACAGCTGACTGAGCTGTAACTCCTTTCTGGTCTGACACATACTGTAATAGCACCTAAATTCTCTAAGTGTGATCAGAGCACCACAAGGGTGCTTGCTCTGCAGAGCTTAGAACCTAAAGATATTTGAGAGAGAGCGAGGATGTGTGAAGACTGACGTGGCTTTATCTGTCAGGAAACTTGATTACAGAAATTGTATTTTCTGCCCATGCCTATGTAGGAAGTTATCAGCCATCAGACCCTCAGATATTTATTATCTGCCATATGGTCTGACATGAAAAACCACACTTCTACAGCCTTGAAATCTTTAAGAAATCATAGCTGAGTTTTGGGTTGCTTTGTTTTTGTGAGATGAAGTGGTGGCTAACACAAGCCAAAGGAATCTGTCACTTACTTTGCCTCCACCATAATTTAAATGGGACCTCGTGGCCATTCAGCTGTGGCTTACTTGGGTTTTGACAGTGACCACTTGCGTGACAGGCATCTGTCACACCAGTCTGAGCACCCATGGTTGATCGTAACAGAATCTCTTTTTGTCTTTACATCTTTTTTCTTTTCCACATTTTAGATGCTGAATGCTCAAGCACTGAGCATTTCTTTTCTTTAGCAACCCTGAGACACTTTAAGACATGTCATGCCTAATTACTGCTGATCTCTGGGCTCACTGGTTTGTTGCACAAAAATCTCAGAGGACAGTAGTGAAACAGCAACAGAGACTTAAAGATTTGTATCCAGCTCTTTCTGCTGATTCACTACTCATTTTGTTCACAGAAAGCACTACAATTTTGTGTAGGTTTCTTATTTTTCCTTTCTATTTTCCTTTCCTTTTTTCCCCCCAATCTCAAATGTTACAGGAAACTATCATGATTAGTACCTTAGTGATGAAAATCACAGCATCTCTGCTCAGACAAAATTAAAAAATGGAGAAACTCTGACCAAGTCCAAGTTTCTGTCTGGGATTCATGGACGGGAACTGTTCCTCAGGCCACCCACGCCGCACAGTGTAGAACATTACACATAATCACACAGTGCCAGCTCCTTCCTTTATTTTCTAAATACTGTCTTTTTGCTTCTGGCTTTGTGATCGCTGGGTGCTAATCTGTCTTTTTATCTCCAAGCAAGGTCAAGTTACACGGCAGCACATACAGTCTGTTTCCCGCTGGGATAAAGAGGAAGGCAGAAATGTTAAAACAATAATGGCTATGGTCTGAGGCCTGCAACTGGTAATCAGCTCCTAGCTTGGCAGAGGTTGTTTCCTTGGAGGTTATTTGAAGAAAATAGGCTTGGTTTGCAGGAAGATATCTCTTTTTCCCCCCAGGCAAACACAGTGGTGCCTTTCATCCATGTAACCACCTTTGCAACACTGAGATTTTTCTTTCTGTCTCTGCTCAATGGAGAACAACCTCTATTAGCTTCTATCACTCCAGCGTTTGTAAATGCTCATCATTAAAGCTTACTTTATGACTGAGATCTAGAACCAGACCTGTCAATATTCCCACTATTCTGTGACCTCTGAGTTATTGGATATGAAAATACATCAAGTACCATAGATTAGAGTCAGCAATATTCTATCAAAGCCATACAGAGAAATGCATAAATACCATGTGCTGACAGAGCCAAGGAAATACAGCAATAACTTCCCAACAAGTATCCAATACTATTTTACCTGGCCTAGAAAAGTTATTGCTAGGCTTAGCAAAAACATCTTATGAGTAAAATAAGATGAGACCATTTGGTTTGCATATACGAACATAAGATATAGTATTGCAAGAAATTATTATAAACCAGAAATCATTTATCAAACCTCTTTCAGTTTGTATATAATTTACTTGTACTCTTTCCAGTTTCTTGCCAGTAATAGCTAGAATTATAAGAGAGCAAGTAATTTATATAGCAGCTTTTTAATTTTGTTTAAGCCATTAAAGTACTCTTGGAAGTTTGCTGTAGTTTTTCCAATAATCAGATGGTTAGACAAAGACTTTGTGCAAAGGTACTTCTTTCTCTGGCAGATTTTCTGCCTTCCTTATATTCTAGGCATTTACATTTTGCAATTAGTCAAGCAAGTGAAATTAGCCTTGTATTTTGGACCCAGGTAAGCTTCTGAGACCTGCATAATCCCACAGCAGAGTGGTCTATAGCCTAAGTGTGAGTTCAGTGATGAATTACCTCATTTTGTTTGTTCAGTACCTGCCTCCTCCTTGTATTATCTGCTATTCCTGCAGCAGAATCTTCAGTAAATTCATCTGCAGTCACCTGTTCCCTGCCTCTCAGTCACATTTTCCAGGCTGAAGAGCTTTACCCAATTTATTTGTTCCTTCTGTGGAAGCCAGTCCACAACTCTGATTGCTTTTGCTGCCCTTCTCCATTAACTGGAAAGTGGTTTATACAAAGGTTTGTTCAAACTGGTAACTCTTCCAGTTTCTAGAGTTTTAATAGATAGGACTAGAAAATTATTTTACATGGTGCTCACACTTTGTGGCTATCTTTGATGACATAAGCACCATACACCTGGTGCCAGCAGGGAGACCTTACTTTCATTTAAGTGTTTCAAATGCCACATCATTACTGTCTTATTAATATGTGATGTTGAGAGAAAGCCTATTTCATGTCACAAACAGAGAAGTCACTGTAATATTAGGACTTATCAGTGACACCTACTTCAGAAGATGATAAAAAACTCTTGCAACAGGAGTCCAGTTTCCTGGGAATGAAATCACTGCATTCAATCACAACTAAACTGACTTCCTAAAAACGAACATGTGCGAAACCATCACACTCAGTAACCTCTGCATGTCAGAAGCTGTTCACTCTATGAGAAGTTTAAATAGTTTCTTACTTAATTCCTGTAAAGTCTGCAAAACAACTGAATGATATTCAACAAACTTCAGGACATTAAAAGATAGAAGGTAGGTAACAGGAGGCTTCCCAGCAAGCACCTCACAGCTCCACTTGCACCCACCAATGTCTTCGTAACCCACAGCTACATTTAATGAGAGAATAGCCCAGAGGGGAGAGCACAGTGTGGTAGGCAGCCTTGACCTGGTTCTGTGGCCTGGATACTTCAGAAAGAAATCCTACATGACAGCTAGAAGCACCTTATTTTCAGATGTATCTTATCTTGATGCTGCCTTTTTACTATTACTCTTCCTAGTCTTAGGCTACTGCAGCCATTTAACTTAGCTCCTAGGCACCAGATACACATTGGTGCTTATGTTTCCAATTGATGAAAAGGCAAGTGGTCGGTGATTTGTAGAGGAACAGGAGTCATACCACTGAAATAACAGGTCAAAAGCACAAGCCCCTCCACACCCTCTCTTTTGCTTACAGCCTGTTGTGCTACTGTTTGCTTGTTTCCTGTATGTTTCCTTGTCGGGATGGGTTTTTTACTCAGAAGCCCAGATGACAGGAACACTTTTTAGGGAACTGTAGACCCAACCATGCTGCATGTAACTCTGCCAGCAGAGTGACTGCAGGAAACAGATCTAATGGAAGGAGCTGCTCTTTCTTTTTTCTTTCTTTCATCCACACAGCTACACTACCTTCCTCACTCCATGACACAGACAAAAACGCTGTGCTCTTGGCAAAGAGAACTGTTGTACTGTCATCTAAGACTTTGCCAACAACAAATGTCTAAGAAAATTTCAGGTCTTGAACCAGCACAGCTACACAGGCAACACTAGGTAGAGCAGGCTGGGTCTGTGCTTATGAAACAAAGCTGGCAGGCAAATTCTGCAGAAGGTCTGACGCTGCAATATCCTTTTGTCTCAGAGACAGTACCTTAAGTCAGGTAAGTGATTTGACTGGAACAATTCATGTGGGTAAGATCTACTCATATGAGGGATGATTATTTTGGGAATCTGCTCCTGATGTTGGGAAACAATAATTACAGAGCAGGAAACATTGACATCAGATTTAAGAGAAAACCACTATCAAAACTCTTGAAAAGAAACTAAAACCAAGTGCCAAATTTATGAGGCATGAACACGCTTTGCAAGTGGAAAGACCATGTTAAGGACTACCAAGGTCTTCTCTTAGAGGTTCAGGGATTGATTTAATGTCAAAAATTAAAACCATGCTGTCTCACGTATTGTCTTCAGTAACCTTGACCCCAACAGGTAAATTTATGAGCAATTAAGCTGCAATTAAACGTTATCGGTGGGTGTCTCCAGGAAAACTTTTCCCAAACAGTTCTAATATTAACGTATGTACCAAAATAAAGTGTAGCCTGCTCTCCCACAGTTCTGCTGACTCAGGGAGGTGGATGCAAACTAAAAATAGGGCAAACTAACCTAATAAGAACAATAACTTAAAAATACGCATTCTGTTTGCAAGCACTCCAAATTATCCAAGTGAGACTTGCTCTTTCTGGCCTTTATCTTCAATCAAATACACTTCGCTCATCATTAGTATTAAGTCAGTAATGATTATGTGCAAGATGCAATCAC